CATCATCCCACACATGCTACATGCAACCCCTTCCCCAAAATGCACACACAAAATAGTAAAAAAGTAAACAAATACTTTTCAAAAGGTAGACAACACCTGAAGAACAATGTCCACGGTTGACCTCTGGAATCCACATGAACATGCATACATGTATGTACAGAATATACGTGAAATATGATACATAATTTATGATATCATAATATATAATGCATGTTTACTTATGAAATCCAGGCTCGATGTTCTAAATCCCAGCACTCGGGAGGCATGAGCCATGGTAGAGCAATTCATTACAGCCCTGCAGGTGGGCCCTGCTGCTCAGAGACCCTATGCCTCCCTGCTTAACCTGGACTGCCCTGCTCTGGCGCACAGCTGAGATCAGTCTGGACTACACAGTAGTTCTACGGTGGTCTGAGCTATGCAAGGACGTCTGTAAGAAGGAAGTTAGACATCCTGACACCAGTGTCTTCACCTCACAAACAAGACACAAACACAAGAGCTGCAGTAAGCCCTCCCAGAGACCTCCAGCTGGCCTGACACGTTCTCATTTCTCCCATCACTGTTGCTGAAAAGTGCTCAAGGTGACTTTGCTTGACAACAGTCTATAGAGACACCCCACCCCCTCATCCAATCCTCTGCCTGTGGGTCATGTAGAAGTTTGGTATTGACTCCAAGCAAGTCATTTCCCACCCCAACGTCCTGAGCAGCCTGTCTATCACACACCCAATCTTTAATTCCAACTCTAGTGAGATTTAAACAAAATTCAATTCCAATAGCTCTCAATCTCAAATTCTATGTAAGGTCAATTGTAAATGAGAAGAGATTATCTTTTATATATTTATTTACTTATTTATCTTAATAACTTTTATTTCCTTTAAGAATAAAACTAAGGCTGGGCAGTGGTGGTGCATGCCTTTAATCTCAGCACCTGGGAGGCAAAAGCAGGTGAATCTCTGTAAATTTGAGGCCAGCCTGGTTCCAGGACAGCCAGGGCTGTTACACAGAGAAACCCTGTCTCAAAAAACAAAAACAAAACAAAAGAATAAAAATTAAAGCAGGCTCTGTGGAAGTTTCTAATTCTGAATGGCCCATGTATACAGCTCTCCAGAGGGGAGGAAAGATACCAAGACGCTAACCTCTGAGATCTTGCAGTCTAAGACGGAGTCTAAACAGAACTATTTAGGCAAATTTTACATAAGGTGCAAGATTTTAACAGTTGTTCAAGAGACTCTCAGAACTGAATTAAGACAGACAACTCCTCATTTGGAGTCGCCACATGGCAGCCTTAGACAAAGACGCATTCTACAGATGGAGGTTTAGCCATTCTTCTGCATGGCAACAGCGACGGGGACGGCGACGTCTGGGTTCTGGTAAACTAACCTGACAACTCTTCCAAAGAGTCTCAGGCTATCTGTGAAGCAGAGACTGAACACCTGGGCCTTCAAAACTTACCCTACTACTACCGTCACCAAATTTAGGTTTGAAATAGCTTCTCTGGCCCCTTTAAGAAAGCAATATGGCTCAGAAGATAAAGAAAGGCATTTGCCACTACCTAAAGGGAACAGCCTGAGTTTGATCCTGGCCTGAGTTCAATGCCCTGGATCTACATGGAAAAATAAGCGACCGACTTTCACAAGTCACCTCCATATATATACTGTGGCATGCACAGGCCCAGACACACAATCAATAAATAAATGTAAAGAAGTTTTAATAATAATAATTAAATAAAAACCCATAGCTGGGCAAGCAGGTGGTGGTCATGACAGTAATCCCAGTACCAGGGAAGCCGAGATCTGACCTGACAGGAGTTTCAGGTCAGCACGGTCTACAGAATAAAACTTTCTTGAAGTAAACAAAGCTGAATAATTATTTTTTAAAATAATAAAAATAAAAAGCACAGTTGGACTGAAGATCACAGGACCCTGGGTCCAATCCCAGGGCTGGGGGTGGGGAGACGAGGGGACAACACCAACGACAAGGAGTACAATGCCCAGCACAGCCAGAGCGAAACAATGAGGAAGACAGGTCCCTAAACTAGGGCAAGGTCCACCAGCACAGAAATACAGATTCTCCATGACTGTTCATGCTTTGCAACAAGAGATGCCTGGAGAACAAATATTCAGATCCAAAACCTGTTACTAGAGGACACACTGGGACCAACAACACCAGCATCTAAGGCAAGTTTTTTAAGGCACACTGAAGTCTAATTTTAAAGGCTGTGGTCCAGATCTTAGGGCTGGCGAGAAGGAAAGAATTAGCTCTTTTTAATTATGACTAGCTGTGCCACAGGCTGGGAGGAGATGGAATCGCTACATGTACCAGTGCTGTAATTAACAGGCTAGGCTTAGTGCATCTGAGATGTGGGGACACTCAGGCCAGACACAATCATAAACCAGGGGAAGAGGGTTATTTCCTGGTTCCTACATGCAGCTAGCATTGTAACATTATCTTTTGGAATAATAATACAACTTACACGCCTAAATAGCTTTAATTTTAGATCTATCCAACTGACTTGAGTCTATAGAAGAATTCTGCGAAGTTGACATTCAGAAAGCCTACCTACTCAACAGGTGACTTCAGAGCTCTCATTGTGCCTGATGTGTTTCTGGCGCTAGCTGTGTATGAGTCATTAGTGAAGCTGAATATCTGCAGTTCGGAGTCAGACAATATCTAAACGTGCAATTTATGAAGTGGGAGACTTAGGCAAGAACGTAATTGTTTTGTGCTTTTGGCCCCCTCATCTGTAAACAGGGATAATAACAGATCTACTTAGAGAGTCACTGTGAGGATTAAATACTTGAAAAGCAGCCCTACCATAAAAAGCCCAATAGCTGTTAGAACACGAAGCACATATAAGCCCAGGCCATTTGTAAAACTGATTACAGGAGCCCCAGTGCCACAGAGCAGTAAGAGGGCTACATTTAGAAATGAGGCAAGTAGCAATGGGCATATCAGCCCCCTCCAACTGTAACTGTGTTGCCTTCCTCAAACTTAGAAAATGTCTGTCTGCTATAGATGAATGAAGGACTGCTCATCAATCACAGGATGGTCACTGAAAGAGCATGCAGTATTTGCTACATGTATGAAAACCTTCAAATGTACATATAAAATGACTTAATGCAGTGATAAACAATAACTGTTGGCATGACAATAAATCGTTGCGCTCTATGTGCACCATAAAATCTATTATTAAAGGGCCCAAGCTGCAGCAGATGAGTGAAGGGTACTGCTTCTGCCCTGCTCCTGCGCCCCTGGAAATGCACCGGATGGATGCTCACTGCTCATGCTGCATGCCAGTCTGCTCAGGACAAGCCTGGGTCTCGCCGCCTCTCTCATTTCTGCTGGAGTGAGAGGCTTACAGCAAGTGAGCACTAAAGCTCACCTACTCAAGGGCTGACAACACCGCAGTCAGGCTTTCCCCGGGCTCCATTCAGTAGGGAGGAAATTCTGGGCACTTGATGGTGTCTCTGAGAACAAAAAGTCACTATTCACCAAATTGCCCGTATAGCTGCCAAAGAACAATGGGGCTTCCGCAATTTTCTCCTTTTAAAGCAGAAGCAGATACAGCAGGACTTTAACACCAGGAAAATGTCAAGACCACTTTCCCGAGCTCTTGTTCTACATCAGCATGTGGGCTGCTCAGCCAGGCTCTGTGTCTTGCTAGAGACTGCTTCGAACTGCCTTCAGCCATTCGCAAAGGGGAGCCATAGAGGAGAAAGTACGACTTCGCTATCCTTTCCCTCAACCCAGAAAACACACAGGAAAAAGACATAAATGTCTCTTCGACATAATTCAAAGCCTCGCCACTAGGTAAAGCCCTTGCATAAGTGTCTTGATAATTATATTCCAATACACTCTCTCAGGCCTTATGGAAGATGAAAAACACCATTTTTCCATTCCAAGCAATCTGTTAAAGAAAACCAACATTACTTGTAAACAGATTTCAAGCTATCAGAAGGGTAAATTAAAAATACACTGTGTGTTTTGGATATATCCTTTAAACCATTTGTCAGATCTAACAAGAATCTATGACCACAGCTTCTTGAGCTCAAATGAATCTTTATATTCTAGCTTATTCCAGTTAAATAATCACAGCCTATGACTTTTTAGTATTTATTAGTTATGTACATCTTTAGGAAAATGTCATTTGAGCACAGTGATGCATGCCTATAATCCCTACTACCTGAAGGGTCAAAGCAGGAAGATCAGGAGTTGAAGGTCAGCCTCAGCTACCTGGCAATTTAAGACCAGTTTGGGCTATAAGAGACCTTATTTCAAAAAAAAAAAATGCACAGGTAAAAAATAATGTATGACAATATCATAACAAAACCATTATTATGTAGAATAAACAAACACTAATAAAATCTGAAATAAAATAATCTCACAATAATTTGCGCCCTCCAGATTATAAAGCAAGGACTGGATCCCACCAGTGCCCAGGACAAAGGTCATGAGCCCAGTTCAGTTGCAGAGCACTTGCCTAGCACAAGTGAGGCTTCAATTTCTAACAAAAACGCGTCTGTTAGAGTTTTAAACCAAGCAAATGCACAGAGCTGGTGCCAGCACTGGGTTTTCATCCCAGCGATACTCACAAGAAAATAAATGGCCATACATCCTACGAGGGCTAGAGTCATGTGTCTGCACCCTGTGTCCTGTGTTCTGGTCTTGCATTCTCCTTGTGTCATTTGCAGGGATCTGAAGCAGCACTTCCCAAAGAGTATCTGCTAGACATTGCTGTGTGTGATGCTAACACACTCAGATAAACTGGTGTTGGTGAGGCAACGAGAAGACGCCTCATCACTGTGGAACCTCCCAGGACCCCTGTATGCTAATGCACACCACAAATCCCAAGATCATATACAAATATGAAGTCTGCAGGATGCCAAGCTGAGCAAGATCCTGAAGAGAATTTTTGAAGGGCTTTCAAGAAGGCTTTGGTTTGGGCTTTGGTCACAGTGTTTCTGGGCACTTGGGGAAGTTAGGGAAACTTCTAAAGGTCTCACCTGATATGCGTTGCAGGAAGAGATTCGTACTGGCGGGACAGAAAGAGCTCCCTATGTTTCAACTGATGCTTCTGCTTCTCAGTCAAGTCAGCCTCAACCGTCATCTCCGCTTCTTCCTCTGTTTCTTCTACACAAACAAAATCCAAAGAATCCGTTGTTACAACTCATGCTGCCTCTTGGGCTATTAAAACAGAGTGAACTGGCAGGTCAAATTCGTATTCCATCTGATAATTTCTTCACACTAATCACTTCTGAACATCACATTAAACTTTTCATTGCAATCCCAACCCTAAAACCAAGCTCTCAGGGCTGCCGAGAGAGAAGAAAAAAACCAGTGTTAAAATGGCAGAACCGGACATGGTGGCATCCACCTGGGATCCCAGTCCTTTGGAGGCTGAGGCAGGAGGATCACTAGTTCAAACCCCACAGTGAGACCTCTCTTAAAACAAATAATAAGCAAGCGAGTGAGCTAGTGAGTGAACAGTGGCTGGATGGCTGGCTCAGGGGTCGAGAGCACTGGCTGCACAATCAAGGACCACGGTTAGGATTCCAGAACACGCTTAGCAAGCCAGCGTCCTTACAAACACCTGCAGCCCTGCTTCGGAGAACAAAGATAGGGGCCCGCTGGGGTTTGCTGTTTTCAGCCTAGCAGAGATCCTGCCTTAAAGGAACAGACAGAGAATAATGGAAGAGGACACCCAACAACCCTCAGACACACCTGAAAACACACATGTGGGCACACAGATACACACAAAGACATTTCTTCAAAATAATAGGTAACATTAAAAGTAAATGACTGCTAAAAGGGCAGCGAGGAGCTCAGCTGTGAATGGCAGAAGCATAGGCCTAAAATCCCAACACTCAGGAGGCTGAGGCAGGAAGATGGGGAGCTCTGAGCTAGCCAGGGCTACAGAGTCAGGGCTGATCTCAAAACTCCTTAATTAAAATAAAATATAAATGGAGCCAACTGTGGTGGCATATGCCTTTAATCCCAGCACTGGGGAAACAGAGGCAGGCGGATTTATAAGAGTTTTGAGGCCAGCCTGTTCTATATAGCGAGTTTGAGGCCAGCAATAACTACATAGTGAAACCCTATCTAAAAACAAACCGGGGGGGGGGGGGGGACACACGACGAAGAGATGACAGACAGACCACACAGCACTTCCAATTGAATAACATAAATAATAAACCAACTGAGAGATTAGAATGGAGGAAATATCCTTAGAAATTAGAGCCTGAAGCAGAAAATGAATAAATGAAAAACAAACAAAGCATTAAGACATTTTTTAAAGCCCTGGCACAGAGCTGGGAGTGCTGAGCACAAAGAAAACCTGGGATTGGTACCAGGACTGCATAGGCCCCAAGTGGAGGTGTACACTGAAACCCCAGCACTCAGAGATGAAGGCAGATCAGAAAGGTCATCATAGGCTCTAAGAAAACTGTCTCAAAAAACAAAAACAGTATTGGAGGGTTTCATCGCTAGCCTGTGTATACAGGAATCAGATTTATAATACTTACACACTTTTTTGTCTTGTATGAATACTATAAAGCAAATCACTTTTGCAGGGGAAAAACATACTTGTAATACCAGAGACTGAGGCAGGAGGCTGGAGTTCACAGTCAACCTGGGCTTTATACAGTCTAGACCCTATTTCCATAACAAAAACAAAAAACTATGAAGACCAACATCACAGAAGAAAAAGAAAAAAAGGCCCAGAAAGAACAAAAGGAAGCTAGCCATCTTTTCTGTCCTTCCTCTCTGCAGCAGGAAGGGGGTTGCTACTGGAAACCTGTCCCTTCCATCAGGAGCTAACCTCCAGCACCTCCACACACTTCATTTGTTTAAAAGTGGCAACACAAGAAGCTGGAATAGAATTGAAGCTACTTGTTCCTGGTGAGCTTGTGTTAAGATGGCGGTGCAACGTCACCCAAGAGCAGAGCAAATGATCAACACCTAGAACTGTAGTCAATTCTCCAGTGTACGAGCAAAGAGGTCTTTCCAGCCACTCAATCAGCGTTAGGAGTGAGGCAGGTGCTACTCCAGGAACTACTCGGTGAGCAGGGACTGAGAAATGACTCCCAGCCTTGGCCACCGAGAAGCAAGGCTGGCAGCAAAAATGAAGCAACAAGGTTCTACGTAGTATCTTGTTCTGATTTTGGGGCACCCTAGCCGGGTAACAAGCGGGCCTCACACTCACCACCTTAGGTACTTTTCTACTGCTGGGACAGCACACTGACCAAAGGCAACTCAGGGGAGGAAAGGGCTTATTGCACCACACTTCTAGTAACAGTGCATCATAAGGGCAGGATCTCAAGACAGGTGCTCCTTCTGGCTTGCTCCTTCGTCTGCTTTCCTTTTGGTTTTTGTTTGTTTGTGTTTTTTGTTTTTTTGAGACAAGGTTTCTCTGTAGCTTTGGAGCCTATCCCGGAACTAGCTCTTGTAGACCAAGCTAACCTCAAACACACAGAGATCTGCCTGTGTCTGCCTCCTCCCGAGTGCTGAGATTAAAGACGTGCGCCACCGCCCAACAGCCTGCTTTCTTATACAACTTTCTTTTACAACCCTGACCATCTGCCCAGGGGTGGCACCCCCTACAAGGGTTGCTCCCTCCCACATCAATCATTAATTAAGAAAATGCCTGACAGACTTGCACATAGGCCAATCTTATGGAGGTACTTTCTCAACTGAGAGTCCTTCTTCCCAAATGTCTTTAGCTTGTGTCAAGCTGACAAAAAACTAGCCAGCACACTCACCATCCTCTGCCCTTCCTCTCCTAAGAACTGAGATTACCACACATGGCTACATGATCTTTTTTTGACATTACATTTGACATCTTTAAAGAAAAAAGGGACAGCAATATCATTTACAGACAAAATTCTGATTAATTTGAGCTACACAACTTTTAAAAACTATAATGCCTCTGGAGGCTCCCTGGTCCCTTGCAGCCTCACCTGGAGCAGACTGTGTGGCTATGGGAAATAGCAGGAGCACAGCGACTCAGAGTGAGGCTGCAGGAAAGAGGAAGAGGGCTGGCTGCCCTTCATGCAGGAAGCACAACAGTGACCTGGAACATCTGGCTTCACACCGAACCCTTGACCATGAGACCAGAGGAGCCACACAGACAGCAGCAAATCTGTCACAATTCTTATGTCAGGGCCCGGGACCATAGAAGGCATTGTATGAAACATAATTCCCACAAGTCTTTTTTAATTGCAAGAGGGCCTGTCATCTTCCCTAATTTCAGATTTTAAAGATCTGAATTGAAAACAAGCCTGGAAAACTGACCGGTTTTAAAAGCCTCACCTAGGAGCAGGCAAGTTGGCTCAGCAGATAAAGGCACACGTCACAAAGCTTGACGACCTGAGCTCCAAATCCCTGGGCCCCACATAGTGGAAGGAGAAGAGTAACTCCTCCAGGTTGTCCTCTGACCTCCATATACGCGCAGATGTGGACACGGGAGCACACAATCTCCACACACACACACACACACACACACACAAGGCTAAACGTAAGAGCTAAGATTCAGAATAAAACAGGTATCCCCATGACCTTTTAGACCAGGAAGTGGTATCTTATACTTACTATATGCAAAAACATAAACAAGAAAAACAAGTAGATAAATTGAACTTCATATAAAAGTTGTATGCTAAATGGATAATATAGAAAAGAAGGAAGAAAGGAAAGAAGAAAGAAAGGAAGGAAAGAAGGAGGGAGAAGGGAAGAAGGAAGGAAGGAAGGAAGGGAGGGAGGAAAAGAAGGAGGAGGGAAGAGAAACTAGAGCCACAGGCAGGCAGATGGCTGAAGCTGGCCAGACAGCAGTCCAGCCCGGTCCATGAGCACCAGCTTCAGGGAGACCACGTCTCAGAAACAGGTAAAGTGTGATTTCGATGGTTTGAAAAAGAATGACCCCCACAGGCTCATATATTTGAATGCTTAGGGAGTGGCACTATTTGTTGAAGTACGTGTGGCCTTGTTGGATGTGAGTGCAGGTATTCCTGGAAATCAGAGGCATTGAGTTCTCCTGGAGCAGAATTACAGGTGCTTATGAATTGCCCAACGTGGGCCCTCTTCAAGAGCAGTATGTGTTCTTAACCTCCCTCAGAGCTATCTCTCCAGCTCCCAATTTTTGGCTTGCTTGTTTGTTTTTCCAGGCAGGGTTTCTCTGTGTAGCCATTGTTAGTTACCCTAGAACTCACTCTGTAGACCAGGCTGGCCTCAAACTCAGAGATCTTCCTGCCTCTGCCTCTGGAGTGCTGGAATTAAAAAAAGGCACACGCCACCATGTTCTGCCAGCAATTTTTTAAACAAACCGCAAGTACACAACCCACTAGCAGGGAGAATGAAGGCCTCGCATGCCACCCAGTCTCTTCAGAACTATGGAGCACATGCAGGGAGGACTGGCAAGCGGTTGGATGCCAGTTTAGTGACACTCTGAACGTTTTTCTGACCTCACAGACCCCTCCAAGGGGAGAGGGAAACACCCAGCCAGTGCGGAAAGTCAAGCAGGAAAACACAACCCTCGCCTGGAGCACAGCTACGTTTCTCCCCAGCTTTAAGAAGCCTAAGCCTGTCTCCGAAACGTTCCTTCCACACAGTGAGCGACCATGACTCATCAGCTGGTCTCCAGCGAGCTAGGATCCCATCAAGAATTTAAGCTATTTCTGTTTTACATTTATTCAACAAAAACTGCAACTGGCAAAGGCTACCCAATCTTATCATATATCAAAGTCCATCTGGAATTCTGTAGCCTTAGCATGCCACGATGCAACTTTCCGCTGCTGTAAACTGTGAAACTGAAGAAACAAAATAAAAGAACTGTTTGGGGTTCCTATTGCTATGAGAGAATACTATGACCACAGCAACTCCGAGACAAAATGGTCTACCTCAGTCTACAAGGCTCAAGTCAGACCACCACTGAAGGAAGTCAGGACAGGAACTCACACAGGGCAGGGACCTGGAGGCAGGGACTAAAGCAGAGGCCACGGAGGCATGCTCTCCATGGTTGGCTCAGCCTGCTTTCTTACACCATTCAGGACCATCTGCCCAGGGTTGGCACTGCCTACAGAAAGCTGGGCCTTCTCCCATCAATCCTTAATCAAGAAAATGTGACACCAGCAAAATTTAAT